GATTCACCCGGCAACGGCGCGTAAACGAAGTTCTCATCGTATCGCAGCCGATGACATCGATATACTGTCGACGGAGACTTTGGCTGTGTTTCAAAATTTACTGCCAATACTGAAAATCTATAGTCTCATATTTGTGTCTCATATTCTATAGATTTTCAGTATACTGGCAGTAAATTTAGGAAACACAGCCTTTATAGAATTCTGCGACTTCACGCATATTCGTTCTCTCTTTGACGGTTTTTAACACTTAATATACACGATGATTTTTTCAGTCCTTTCATGCTACATACGATGGATCATTCGTATTCTGGGTTAATTTTCATCACTTTAATTGTAGATGTAAAATTATCAAAAATTATCAAATGATTCTTACGTATACTTTAATATCATTTTTAGAAAGTATTTATAAGGTATTGTATATTTAAAAAAATTGTTTATAAATGTTATAACTAATTACTTACTTACTAATTACTTACTTACTAATTACGTACTAATTATTGCATCTAGTTTTTGTAAAAAATATATATGTGTATCATATGCAGAACACAAATGACAATCGTGTATACTAAAAGATTTGCTGGATAATGATGAAATAAGATTGACGATTGATAATTTACATAATATCATAATATAATAATATCAAATTTGTAACGTTTCTCTAAAATATTACTGAAATTTCGATAGCTCTGTCAAATATTAAATGACGCTATCATTAGAAAAGGATTTATACAAAATGTAAAAGAATCAAAAAGTAAAAATAAATTTGAATATTCGGTAAACATTCTTGAATTAAGTAGATATATAAATATGAGGAATCATAATAAGAAAATTATAATATTATATGCATAATAACGCAACATTATAATAAAATTAATTTGAAATTGCAATTGTGAAATAAAAATAACGCAATATATAAAGCAAGCTGATCTACTGTGTTTTATGGAAATTAACAAATATTTTACTTAAACTTTCTAAATTTCTATTAACAATACTGTCAAATGTATTTCTACTATTTGTCTACAATAAACTTTCAAATTAGGATTTTACAAAATATTATTGTATTTAAGTTATAATAAAAAAATATTATAAATCAGGTAAAACAATTTTATATATATGTTTTATCTAATAAAATAATTTTAAAAAAAGAAGTACGAAGTTTTACACTAGTTTATGATATAGCATTTGTCTCTCTTTTATCTATATGAAATAAATTCTTATGAAGAAACCTAGTCTGACAGAGGTCAGCGGTTACTGACGGCGTAAGTTTTTTCCTCATGTCACTGGCGACGTGTTATAAGTTGTCTTCATAAAAGCTCACCTCTGATGGTGTGACGCGTTAAAAAATTAATACTGCATTACAAGGCGTTTAACAGACGTCGCACCGATCCAACTTGTATGTATAAAGCGTCTGGCGCGTCAAGTAGAACATGACATTCATAGCACGATTGCATATAAATACGGAATGTGCACCTCAATAACTCTTGATAAAATCTTGATTAAAATAAAATAAAATCTTATTCTTTTATGTTATTTACAATATTATCATTTAAATATTATCATAAAAATTTGATGTCTGAAAACACTTCTTTGAATTAAAAATTGGATAACATATCCTGGATAACATATTCTGAAATATTTTACATCAGCATAGTAATTTATATCTTATTATTTGATTTACATATATTTAAATTCAAACTGAGATATTTATTTGCTCTTCTTTCATCATATTGCTCATTTGTTATGAAAATATAAAGTTTTCTAGAAAATAAGTTTGAGTGTCCTGAAAAATTTGTAATATTAACTTCAAAAAATATAATTTATTATAATAATTAATTGGAATGAAAATATGTTGTTTTTCTTTTTTCTTTATGTCTTTTCTTTATGTTTTCATATATTTTTTTCTTCATATTTCTTTTTTATTTTCTTTTTCTGTAAACAATATCAAAATTTTAATTTGTGAGTTACGTCTTTATTGAACGATGTGTCCGTTCATCTTATTAATAATTTAGGAATGCATTTTGAAATAGAGAATACTAACAACAATAATGAAAGTCTTTACTTCACGTTACGTATACTATTAGCAGTTATTATACATGTCGGAATACATCCTAGATTGTCAGTAAAACAACAACAATACGTACATTTAGCTATGCAGTGTTATATATCTTCTGCATTCGAAATAAAATCGATATGCTACATATAAACTGGAATGACGTAAAAGAAAAAAAAAATCACAAAGGAATGCAAAAAGCGCAGCTGAAAAGAAATATGCTTAATATATACATAAGTCGCGTGGACACAGGCAAAAGGAAGAGGGAAAGCGAGCAGGGAAAGTTTGAGAGATAAAGTAAATCTATTTTAGCTACGCTTTCTTACACTTTCCTGCATTTTAAACGTTCGAGCTTTGAGAGAAAAAAGAAAATGAACGCTCTAAAAATCTTCTCGTTACAAACTCACCTCTCATTAAAATCTTTTTATTCGGCGTTTTAATCATTCTTTCAATAGTATCATTGTTTTTTTTTATAATTTTACTGTTGTTTACTACAGTTAGTTAATGTAAAAGTAGCAAACATCACTCATATTCTAACGCTAAAGATAAATACATAGTGTGCAACATGATGATGGATGCTTTCCATTTTAACGAGACTCGTTCGAGTTAGCTCAAGTCGATAACTCCAATGCAATAAATAGAAAGCGTTTACCATACATAAAAAATCAAGTTTGAAGAAATGTAAAAAAATGACTTATAATTATATATAAAATTATGTATAAGTATGTATGAGCAACTTTTTTTACATTTTTCCGAACTTGTTTTTTTTCTAAAACAAATAATGCGAAAATTATCCCTTTAATTATTTTTTCACATTATTATTATTATTTTTATTACACTAAAAAGTGTAAAATTTTTTGAGGTACATGATATATCCTAAGTGACTTAAAATTAATTTATATTTGCATAAATTATTTGTGTTAAAGTATAATTTGGTCACATAAATAATAAAGTAAAATATAAAGTAAAATATAAGTAAAGTAAATATAAATAAAGATAAATCAAGTTATAATTTTCATCGTATTCTTTAAACATATATTCTATAAATCTCAAAATAGAGATACCAATATTTGTTTTCATTGAATTAAAATATTCATATACATATAATTTAATAAATAGAATTTTCTGTAACAAATAAGAAGATTGTTTATTAATTTGTCGGCAATTAACAAAATTAGAGGCCAATGTGATAGCAAGACATAACACAATACTCATTGTCAGATTTAGTTTTTTTTCTTAAATTTATGTCTCCCTTTCCATTTATCTTTCAATCCACTGCCACACTCTGCAGCAAAATTAGTCAAGATCGATTTGAATCATCGACAAACGATGACATAGATCAAATAGAAAACAGAAACTAAAATTAGAACTCGATTATTATCGAGTATACTCTATTAAATGAAAGCTCAAAATCAAATCTATTTGTTGTGAAATTCAAAACATCAGCCATTTAATTTCGGACTTATGAGAAATTTAACAAGGAAAGAGTTTTCTTCAAATGATTAACTTATTGCTAAGAACAATTTTGTTTTAATTCCGTTGAATTTTAAATCTTGAATTTTGGATAATCTTAATATTAAGTATAGGTAATACCGTATTATGTGCATTTTTATTATAAAAATTAATATAAAACTATAATTTATTTATATATGTATAAGTAATATTTATTTCCCGCAAATAAGCAAACTTCGATAAAAAATTGTTCATGTATAAATATATATAAACATACATAAACACGCATAAATATTCATAATTATATATGAAATATATTCATACATGTTCATATATCTTTTTTTTTGTAAAATTACTTGTTAGTGTAATAGAAATAATAATAATAATGTGAAAACATTAAAAATAATTTTAAAAAATAATTTTCGCAATATTTGTTTTAGAAAAAATCAAGTTTGAAGAAATGTAAAAAAATGACTTATAATTATATATAAAATTATGTATAAGTATGTATGAGCAACTTTTTTTACAACTTGTTTTTTTCTAAAACAAATAATGCGAAAATTATCCCTTTAATTATTTTTTCACATTATTATTATTATTTTTATTACACTAAAAGTGTAAAATTTTACAAAAGAAAGAAAGATATATGAACATGTATAGACATATTTTATATATAATTATACATGTTTATGAATATTTATGCGTGTTTATATATGTTTATACATGTTTATACATATTCATGCATGAAAAATTTTTTACTGAAACTTTTGCTAAAAAGTATATATTTAACAAGTTTTTGAAGAAGAAAAGAAATAAATGAAGAAAACGAAAAAGCAAAAAATTTAAGAAGGTAAAGATGGGAAAAAAGAAAAAATAAAAATAGAAGATAAAGAAAAGGCTGAAGAAGAACATAATGATAATGAAAATGAAGAAAAGAAGAATAATGTATTCTTTAATTAGAATACAGTGTTTATATTCTTCTTTTCTTAATCTTCTTATTTTCATTGTTTCTTTCCTTATCTTTGTCATTTTTATTATTTTTTTATATTTTTCAATTTTTTTTTATTTCCTATCTTTATCTTTTTAATCTTTTTTTTTCTTTTACCTTCATTTATTAAATAATAAAATATTTCTTATAGATTTTTAAATCGTAGTTATGATCTCAATAATAATTAAAAATTCGATAAAAGAAGTAGAAAAAAATAAAAAAGAGTTTAGCTTTCTTTTCAATGTGAAGAAAAAAAGAAAAAAGAGAAGAATAATGCGAGAACAACTTTTTTTCAAACGCGCCGCATATGTCTTCGCGATAACAGAAATCAACTACACTTTCCTGCACTTTCCCTTGGAACTCGCGATACTCGCGTATACAGACTTTAGTAGAATAAAGAGGGGTAGCGGGAGGAGGGTCAACAAAGTGTAAACAGGCGCGAATGGACTTTTGAACGAATGTATCGTCGCAATCGTGTCACGCGTGTTCGCCGTCTCGGCGCCGCGGCGCCGCGCTGACGGAGATTTGTGCGCAGTAGCAAAATACGCGCGCGATCGAGTAGAGTGAGTAGTGAAGTAGCTAGTCTTGTGAGACGAACAGAGACGAAGTTGAGGTAACTTCGGCTTGGGTTACTCGGATATCAGCGACGCGCACGGTGGTCGCCTGGTCGCTCGCGTCGGATGTTTCGAGTTCCAATGATTGATACCACGATCAGCTGTGTGCTACTCCATGCTACTCTGTGCGCGCTCACGACAAGGCACACTGTGGCGAGGGATGTGCGAGGTTTGCTGAAGAACAACGCAACTCGCTGCTGATTCCGCGCGCGCGACGGATTATCGACGTGCGTGAAGGAGGCGTTTATTTATTTGGTACCAGTACCGCCAAGATGGTAGAGCCTATTTTCGATTATCAGTTTCGGCTGATACTAATCGGTGATAGCACGGTTGGGAAAAGCTCTCTTCTCAAATATTTCACCGATGGCAAGTTCGCGGAGGTACATACACAGCCACATCATCCTCGGGAACGGTGCCTTGCGCGGATAACGCGCTGACAATTATTTGTCTGCGCAATATCCCTTTATTTACACTTTGTACCACGAACGTCATTACACACGAACATCGCAATTTAATGCGACGCACGAACGAATGAATGTCCGATTTCAAAGTCTATTTAGATTTCTCCTTAAACGATCTCGCTGGACCATTCTTCTGAACGATCAGAATATCACCTTGAAAAAAGTTTGACGATTTAATTAGGTTAGGCGAGTTTCGCACGTCGCGTAATTCCGACATATCAGGATATATATTTAGCGACCTACGTAACTCTCTTTGTCTTCTAATTTCTAAAATTGGATAGATAAGAGTGACTCTGACCAAACTCCAATTAATTTATTGGATAATACTTATATTATTTGTATTAATATGAATAGATATTAACTTTTTGTCATGGGAACTTGACATGGGAAGAATGTGAGATCAAGGACGAAATGATATGTATATAGTTAGAAATTTTTTGCTCTGTTGGTTGAATTAGTTATTCATTAGTCGAAAAATCACTCTAAATCATTATTATTTTTATATATATTATTTAAATAGCTATTGTGTTCTGCTACATTAAAATAATTTGCTTAACTTGAGCGAGTCAATACTTAGCAACGACAATAGATTTGTACTTGCACTATATTATAATTAAAATAAGTC